CACCAGACGACACAACTGAAGATGAGCTCTTAAAATTTTGCATGAGTAACGCCACAAGCGGGCAGGATTTTAGGCAATTCACATAAAAAAGGGTACATTGATATTGATCGGATATGCGAAGGAAAGGGCAAAATTCCGGTGGGTCGACTATTTGATACCCTACATTATTTTCTAAATTTATAAGATTTATGGAGAATATACAAAGATGTGGACCTAAATTGGTAATTTTCTGTCGTAGGAAGAGGTAACTCCAAATACAAAATTTAAAACAATTCCGGTAAAATGTGTGACATAAATCATCAAAATACCGATTAACGTTAGATACAATTATATAGGGGCTATACGAAAATGTGGGCCAGCATAGAATGTTTTCTATCAGAGATGGTAAGAGGTACTGGCGATATCAAATACCAACTTAGACGTAACAGAAAAAATCGCTATAAATGTCTGCATTGGAAATTTTCTGTCATGGGAAGTTACGAACTCCAAATATAAAATTTAAACAATTCCCCTGAAAAGTGTGACACAAATCATCCAAATACCGAATACCGTTTCTGCAAAATGGTCAGGCTTAATCCCATTATTGCTGTTTTTATAAAAACAAAGTTTGTTTATTAGTGGAGAATGATGCTAATGTTTACCAATGTCATCGCGAGCTACAGTTGTATGGGTCTTGGACGTACATGTACAGTTTTCTGCAAGGATATTTTCTACATACTGGGAATACAAACTACCAATTTACCGCTAATTCTGCATAAAAGTGACTCAAAACACCTTAAATGTGCCAGTATAGTTATATGGGGGCTATACCAAAATGTTATTTTCCCATTTTTTAATACCAAAAATTCTACGAAACTAAAATAAATTTTGGTGAGACTTTTTCCACCGTTAGGCCTCCAGAATGATTTCCACAAACGAACAGACAGAAAAACGTAAGTGTTTGATTTATTTTATTAAGAGTTGTGCGGCTTGTGGCAAATACAAAATCTATAAAAAATTGTTAACCTGCATAAGAAATTTTTTGTCATGGGCTATAGTTCTGATTACGAAATTCAAATACGAAAATTGAAACCGTTCCAGCGAATAATGTCGCTAAAATCATTAAATTACCGAATATCGGGACGTACCGTTAAATGGGGGCTATACAAAAATGTTTGTCATAGGCTGTAGTACCGATTACGAACTTCAAATACGAAATTTGAAATAATTCCGATAAATAATGTCGCTAAAATCGTTAAAATACTGAATGTCGGGAGGTACCGTTATATGAGGGCTGTACGAAAACGTGAATCGGCATGGCCCATTTACTAACTTAACCTGCCTATTGGAAAACTATGCATGTATGCAAAATTTTAGCCTTCTATCTCAATACGTGAGTACAAAAGACAGACGGACGGACGGACGGACAGACGGATATCGCTAGATCGTTTTAGAATATTGCGCTGATCCAGAATATATGTCTTTTGTGGGATATATTATGAATATTTCGAGGAGATACAAATGGAATGACAAAGCTAATATAGCCTCCATGGAATGTTGGAGGGTATAAAAGTGTCGAGAAACATTTGCAAAATTTTGATGTGTTAAAACAGTTCATATGTTAATTCCCCATCGGACGCATGGCGTAATTCTGTATTATACGACCAAGTTCTGTTCAAAAAGCAGTGGTTCAATGTTGTCCATTTTTACACCTGACCTAATATCTGAATATCGGCTACTCACTTCGTTCAATGTAAAAGGGAGTGTATCGATATGGTACATCTCAGAACATGACCTATGATTGCTCAAACAAGATAAATAGTATCAGTCGGTTTTGCCGACAGATATATACCTCCAGCCTTGAGTTATGATTATTCACACTGTTGACCCTTTATGGGTCGTATCTGACCTAAGTCTGATATAAATATTACAACGTGCCATAATGAGACTTTATCGTCTACTTCCTACACTTCATATAAGATATATGCAAATTTTTTGGAAAATGTTGAAATATGCGAGAGGTACTAGATAAAGCGGACCGAAATATTCCACTTTATCTAATACAGATATAAATATTGGTATGAGAACAATTTAAACGAAATCGAATATTTATAACCAATTTTATAAGAAATCAAAAATTCCGATAAATTACATATTCATATCAGATTTCAGGATAAGAGAAATATTTAGATACAAAAAGTTACATAGAGTTATAATTATAATTATTGGAAATTGTGACTCTTTGTGGGTGAGGTACCAGAAGAGGTTGACAGATATCGATCATATTCACAACAGATTTTGCGTTAGCAAAAATATTTCGATTTATGAAATTTGAAGAGAGTTGGGTGCTCATTTTGCGTTTTGTTTTTCAAAAATTTGATTCCTCCGGGGAAGTCCCAGAAGAATTGCATCGATATACCCATGTTCACAGTTAGTAAGAATGTGTAAAATTTGTAGAGAACGGTATGCATATTTTGGATTTTATGATCGCATTGGTTATTCAAAATGACCCTTTGTGGGTGAGGACCAGAAGAAATGTTTCGATCTCTACCATCTTTAAAACAGATCTTGTGTTGATGGAAATATTGAGATGTGCCAAGTCTAAATGGAATCTGATGTTAATTTTGTGTTTTATGAGCTTCATGGGTATTCAAAATGTTGACCCTTTGTATGGTAGAGGTATTGGAAGGAGTGGACCGATATATTCCGTCTTCACAGAAGATCTTGTGTTAGAAGAACTGATGGAATATGTGAAATATGAAGAGAACCGGATGTTCATTTCGGATCAAATTTCGCTGAAAGTTTTGAATAATCAAAACGATTATAAAGTTTGGATTATTTAAAATTTTAACCCTTTATAGGGAAGGTACCAAGGAAATGGTGCGATCTCTACCACCTTTATAACAGATCTTGTGCTGATGGAAGTATTGAGATGCCCCAAGTCTGAATGAAATCGAATGTTAAATTCGCGTTTTATGAGCTTCATGGATATTTAAAATTTTCAGCCTTTGTGGGGGAGATCTCAGAAGGAGTGGACCGATATGTTCCATCTTCACGCCAGACTTTTGGTAAATAAAAATATTGTGATGTGTGTAATATAACGACAATAGGACTCTTACATCACATTTTATAAGAGTTATAATAATTCAAAGTTTTGATACTTTGTGGGAAGGTACTTGATGGAGTGGACCGATGTTGTCCATTTTCTCAGCTGACCTAGCACTGACGCAAATATTAGGATTTATAAAGTTGGAGAAAAATCTGATTATTCTTTCTCTTTCTGTGCAGTAAAATATAGTTTTCCAAAATGTCGACCTTTTGTGGGGTAGGTACCAAAGGAAGTGTATTGAAATTGCCCATCTACGAACACGATCCAAGTTTGATAATAAAATTATGATGTACCAAGTTTGGACCAAATCGGATACTTCCTTCGAGAGTTATCGTAAACACCCACCAGACTGACGGCCGGACGGACATCGCTAAATGGACTTCAAATTCCATCAGAAAATTATCTGTGTTAATATAGTCCGCATATAATGTACATCCCTATATTCGGTATTTTGCATTTGAATATTGTAATAGCTTATGACAGAAGTTACGTCGTCGTATAGACCCTAGTATAACGGCTATCGGTATTTTTAAGATTTTAACAGAATTTTTAATCGAATATATTTTTGAAAATTGAAAAGTGGAGAGTATTCAAAGTTTGACCCAGCCGAACTTACAGCTTTATTATATATGACTGTGACGGCCAGCAGAACTGTGAAGACTTCATTACCAAAATTCAAACGCTGAATGCAGCTTGGAAGAACCTTTTCCATATTTTGTTTAGATCGGATCCGATTAAGATATAGCTCTCATATATTAATAAGTTTTAATATAATATAATAAAGACTGTAAAGGTTAGATAACATCGATTAAGACAGTTTTATATATAAGCTTGGTCAAAGTCATAACACGCACTCTGAGCAATGATATTAGAAATCCACATACAGTAATAAAAAGAACTCAGTCAGATTTAGTGGTAATCGATAACGGTTAAGATATAGCTCTCATATATTAGTTTCATCCGCTCTAGCGACTTTATACGCATTCAATAATGATCATGTGTATTAAGATTTAATTCACATAAATTTCCTACAGAAACGTGCAGGGTGAAAAAAATCGAATCTGGTTTTTGGCCTCTCTTTAGTTGTTGACTTTTTGAGATATATGCGCATTTTAAAACTACCCCAGTGTGATCTCTGGGAACCCCAGAAAAAATATTTCAATAAGCCATAAATTGAAATTCCATTTTATTTCGTATCTGTCATAGGTCTAAGGTCCTCTGCCAAATAAGAAATTTCATTATTTCGTTTATGTGAAACTAATAGCTAGCATTTTAGCATTATCGTGTCAACCTTTGCAAACTTCTCAGTAACCAAATTACTTTACTCCATCTTTAAATTTTAATATCTTCCTAAAGTGCAAAAATTTGGAAAACTAATATTTCTGAAATAAAATCCCTATAGTTTTTCACTTAAGTGGCGGAAAATTGTTTGGTCCTTAAGCATTTATCACACCTTTGTTAAAACTTTAGATGGAGTTTAGCACAAAAGTGTGTTAGTTGAGTTGAGAAGTATCAAATAATTCGATAACATGTCATATGCAAACATATATCAGACACACACACATCCGCCAACCAGGGCACATAGATTCTACACGCTCTCTACGCTTCAATAGGCTTCATATATCCTGGCAGCCTGCTTTTCAAGTTGTTGCCGCTGTTTACCTTCATAAATTAACTACGAACGCAGCCCATACAGGTTGTCAACGTAACCAACCGTGTGATGGGGGTAAGCCGGCAACCAAGTTATGGACTCCAAACAATGCAAAAGGGAAAAAATAAATTTTATACTCCAACCAGCTACATCGAACTTCGGGTCACATCCTTTTTCTTGAATATCCTGTGACTTGTTTAAGTGGAAATTTTAAATTTTTTTAAATTAAAAATTACTTAGAATCCCCAAAATTCCTCAAAAATGGGTAAGAAAGGTAAAGGAAATAAATTGGCAAAAATGTCCGAAGAGGAAAGGGCAAGATATCTCCAGCTACGGGCTGATATTGAGGAAGAGGCTCGTCGCCGTAAAATGCAACTGATTTCCATGTATATGAAGGTAATTTGTCCTTTGGGAATGTCACATCTTTAAATTATTACTACGGTCCTTTTGCCATTCGCAGAATAAGCTGAAACGTGAAGAGGCTTTCAGCCGCCTGAATATGGCCAAAATCAATCAAGAGTGGCGTTCCATTTTGAGACAGGTCAAATGTCAGGAGTTGCGCAAAGAAATTATTGACATGGAAAAATACAGCAAGGACATGTTGGACCACAAGGACGATGTCATACAGCGATTGCTGCACGACTTAGAAGTGGCCCATGGCCAACATGATACAAGTTCCCAAACCCACATGGAAATGTTGCATCATTTTATGAGTGAGTGAAGGAGATGGAAGATTTCTGTTCCAATATTACTGTTTGCCATTTACAGATATCCAAGAACAACGCTTGGATTTCTTCAAGGAGAACTATGAACGCGAGAGGCAAACAATGCTCGAACAATTTAATGAGGATTTCAGTAAAATGCAAAATTTACGGGAGCGCGCCCAGGAACAACTGGAGAATGTCTACTATCAGCTGGAAGAGAAAAATGAGAATCAGCGCAATGAGGCCCACGAGAGATATTTGGAGAAATTGGATGATATAAAGGCAACAGTAAGGAACCTACTATAGAAACCTATCTGAAGTCCTTTAGCCTATTGGGGATCTGTTAAAGGTGTTGTTCTTACGGACAACCTATTAAAGGCATTCTGGTAGTATAATAAGTTTTCTATTAAAAACTAGCAATGAATTTATAAAAATAGCCATTCCGGAGGGGGTCAACCTGTTTGCAAATACTTTATTTAAAATTTCTCACTTTTTTCTTTTTTCAGAAGAAAGCTTTTGAAGACCTTTTATCTATAGCATGGGTGGCATTTTTTTTTAAACATTTATTTAGAAACCCCCTTCCTTTACAGATGCAGCTACGTATTGAAGAAATCACCGAAAAGGGCGAACAAAAACTCGAAAAACTATGGAAAGAATACCAACAGGCATTGGCTGAATATGTTCAGCATACCGAAGGATTCTATGCTGATTACATGGATCTGAAAGAAAAAGATGAAGAATATACAAATCAAACTCGAGAATATTGCTATGAGATAGAAAAGGCCAGCAATCAGTTGGCCGCTTTGAAACTTACCGTGGCCGATGCTGAAGATAAAAGCGAAGTGAAGTTGAAACATTTAAGAGATCTCAAAGAATACATGATGACGAAACATGCGGAACTAAAGGAAAGAATCGATGCTGAATTGCAGGGGAATCAGGAGAAATTCAAAACGATGAGTGTGGAAAGTTATCAGGCGGTGAAGGTGAGTAAAATGGGAGAGTTATTTTTTTATTTTTTCATGGTGATCCCAATATTTCTACTGGTGTGAAGATGGAATACATTAGCCCCATCAGAATCAGTCAGAATTTTCAAAAACAAAACGATCATAAAATGGGAAATGAGCATCCGATTTTTTTAAACTTGGTATATTCCAATATTTCTGTCAACACAAAACTAGCTGTGAAGAGATATAATTTCGGACCACTACTTCTGGTACCTTTTTCCAAAATGGGCCAACATTTTGAATAATTTTATCTTTAAAAATGTGGGATATAGGCTTCATATTCTCAGTAAATTTCACATATTCAAACAGTTTTGATGAAGATAGGATATATCGGTCCACACTATCTGGTACATCCGCCACAAAGGGGTCAAAATTTTGAATAACGAAAAGCTCATAAAATACGAATAAACATCTGATTCTCTTCAAGTTTCACTCATCCCTATATTTCTTTTAATAACAGATATGGTGTGAAGATGATAGATATCGACCTAACGCGTCTGGTACCTCCCCCCCCACCATAGTATGGAGGGTATATTAAGTTTGTCATTCCGTTCGTAACGACTCAAAATAAAATTCTATGTCGATTTTGCGATGTCCGTCCGTCTGTGGAAATCACTCTAGCTTCAAAACAAACTGAAGTAGACTGATAAAATTTTACTCAAATGTATATTATGTCTGCAGGAATTTTGGTATTGAAAATGCCAAATTCGTCCCAACTGGTGGGGATATTACTAGTTTTATAGTTTTCTTACTTGCTTTTCCTACACTAAACGCATAGAATTCACAGTTATCCTTATACCAATATTTATTATACCACTTCTATTCTCATGATATATGCTAAATTTAGTAACATATTGTTCACTTGTAGTACACATTTTCAGAAAGGCCTTTTTCAATAATAAATTTTAACATTCTATCTTTTTCCATTCAACTAAAACCAAATTGAGTGTCGTTTAGTACAGTTGTTAAACACAATACACATTTTGGAAAGTACCTCCTTATATCAAACCTGCTCCCTGAACTTGGTTTTCATAGCAAATTTCTTACGTGACTTTTATCCATTATTTTTAATTCTCATATGACATTTGGTTCCTTATCCAATCCGCACACAACATCAAATGCCTTCATTCAAAATTTCAAATATCCCTTCCTCATATACCAAAATTTCGTACTTGTTGGTACGTTTTTAAAAATCCTTATCCATATATTAACCCTATTTCTTAAAACGTAACCTTAATGCAAATTTAGATTTTTCGAACTTTTTAGTGCAAAATTTTCAGCTCCATTTGTTCATTCAAATCCATATTGTTAGCTTAATGCCAATGCCAAAAGTCCTGCAGACCAAACACACATCTGAGTAAAATTGTATCAACCTACTTCAATTCGCTCGGAAGCTAGAGGGATTTCCACAGACGGACAGACGTACTGACACCATTAAATCGACAGAGAATTTTATGCTGATCGGACAGACAGACGAACGGACATCGTAAAATCGACATCGAATTTTGAGCTGATGAAGAATATATGTACTTTGTAGGGTCTAAAATATATATTTCGAGGTGTTCCAAACGGAATGACGAACTTTCTGTTCCCTTCATACTATGGTAAACGGTATAACAAGTAAAAGAGGTTATAAGTTCAGCCGGGCCGCACTTTGTTAACTTAGAATATTAAATTGTTTTATAAAACAAGTAAGCTAGGCTACAGTGGTGGGTGGCCGGTCATGTGATACCCCTGCAACACTACAATATGTTAGAAGCCCCTTGATGTCCACAACCATCTTGGAAAGTTTCACTTTTGACATTATGTCATAAAGTACTGCCCAGATATTACCCTTAGCTTTTTGACCAGGAATATTTGCCCAATATTTACGCACTCCGTCGTGCTGTTAGTGGTTATTGTCCATTTTACAGCTAAATATAATCCAATGGTCATCCAAAATGCAAGACTTCTTCCCTGTTCTTAACTATGTTCTCATGCAAAATTCTGCGTCGATTGGTTTCAATTGATTGATCAGAAAAAAATTTTCTGTTTTTGGTTCATTTGAACCCCTATATAATTTACGATTTGCTTATCTACGATATTTTTCTATATTCGTCAACGAAATCAGCATAAACAAGTAAGCAAAGGCTACAGTCGAGCGGGGCCGACCGTTGAATACTCTACAACACTATAATAAACCATACATTTTATATAGGCGAGATACTCGAAAGAACTCCACAAGATATTGTGACAAATAATAAAAGAAAACCATCAGGTTTCGTTCTCTAATTTTCGAATAATAGCAACTTAAACGAATTTGCTCATTTCCAATTTATTGGTAGATGTTGCACGTAAATGGTCTTCCTAGATCTGGAACCAATATTTCCCAAAGACCTCTAATCTCTCCCAAAGACCTCTAATCTCTCAAAAGATTAACATTTATTATTGGTTTTTGACTGAAACGCATCTATATGAGATACAGACATTTGACTATATTCTTCCACGAAATCAGCGTTAACGAAATAGTCAGAAGTGCGTCTTTTCTGTATTTGTGAATTCTCCAAAAAGTCGCTGGAATGGACATTTTCGTATTTTGTCTACAAAAGTTGGCAAACTCCTTTACACATTGAATATTTTTGGATGGCCATCCAAAACTGCTTGGCTTTTGCAATGTCCGGTAACTCCCATTCAAATGTGCATGAGGATCGGGCGATAATTACGACCTGCTGACAATTTTGCAGTTTTTTGGTCCATTTCAACCCCTAAATATATAGCGATCATCTCCAAAAAAGTAGGCATCTATTCAGACCCTCATATTATCCCCATGCAAAATTTCGTAAGGATCGGGCCATAAATGCGATCTGTATATGATATCCTGATATCCTAACTACTTAGTTTTGTTAGCTGTAAAAATATTACCAACTGTTTAATTCAAAATGAAAATATGCAAAAAAAAAAAAATATGACAAAATTGAAAAAATATGAGAAAATGTTACAAAACCAATATTTTCATCTTTAGAGAGATATTTTTATGCGATTTTTTAGACGTTTTTTCTTTCCTGCCAAGAGGCCATTCTGAATTAATGAGAACTGTCGAAATCAGTTCAGCCGTTCTAGACATATAAGATATCTTTCAAGCATATCTTCTTTGATAGACATATATATCGCACATATTTTGCTATATATCCGATTTGTTGGATAATAACATCAATGTAAAGGTCAGAAGTAACCTTGTCATGACTTTGTGATTTCGCCGGGATTTCAAAAATTCACGATTTAATGAAAATTCTATTTTACCCGCTAAATATTATCCGATGACCACCCAAATTGGTAAGCTTCTTCCCCGCCCTAAACTCTAGCTACATACATCGATTGGTCTATAATTGCGACCTGTATAGCTACTGCAAAATCCGACATTTTTTTCAGTATTTGGTCCATTTCAACCCCTAAACATTTGGCGATCATCTCCAAAAGAAATAGGCTTCTATTCTGACCCTAACACCACCTTCGTGCAAAATTTCGTAAGGATCAGGCCATAATTGCGACCTGTAGCGTGATTACAAATTAACATGGACAGACGGACGGACATACATAGCTAGATCGACTCAGCTCGGCGAGCTAGGAAGATCCATATATACTTTCCTACATGGGAAACCAATATTTCGAGATGTTACATAAATTCTGGCCCAATCAAACTTATAATACCCCCAACACATAGTGTTGTAGGGTATAAAAAGCCAGAAGTTCGCATTTCGTGTATTTTGGATTTCACCTGTATGTTATTTTCAGCGTTTCGGTAGTATGGAAATGTTGGTATTTTTTACAGAAAAGTAGTGGTCCATTCTAACCACTGTCCTAAACTGAAACTTCATGCGAGATTTGGTTTTTATTTGTGACCTTTATAACGGCTGCAAAATCCGGAACATTTTTAGTTGTTGGTCCATTTCATATTATGGGCATCTTTAAAAAATAACAATAGATGTAGCCCTTCTGAAACTATCCCTACCCTTGTGGAAATTTTCGTGAGGATCGGACGATAATTATATATAATAACCCTAACCTGTGTTATAGGGTAAAAAATATGCCAAAATGTACACTTCAATATAATAAGTCAAACTGAAAACATCGCATCCGATTAAAAATAAAAAAAAAATCACAAAATCTATAGCAACATCAGTATTGGCTTCTTTTTATGCTGTTTCTAGATTTTATTCTTTTATGTCGTGAGGGCATTCTGAATTGACAAAATTTCTACATTTTAGCTAACACTCCTTCCCTTTGTATAAACACATTATTTATTCTTCAATATATATATATACGAGATATTTATTATCGGTATCAACGTAATGGTCAGAATTGACCTTTTCATCTATTTGTGATTTCGACGGTATTAAAAATATTGGCGACTTAATGGAAAATTTGACTTGAATATTTAACACAAATGTTATTGTCTATTTCACTCACTAAATATTACCCGATGACCAAACTTGGAAGGCTTCCGCTCAGCCTTAAACTCTAGCCCCATGCAAACTTTCGCGTCGATTAGTCCATAATTGCGACCTGTAGAGCGACTGCAAAATCAGGAAAATTTTCAGTTTTTTGGTCCATTTCAACCTCTTAATATTATACAATCATCTCCAAAAACAATAGGCTTCTATTCTCTCCCTATCACCACATTCATGCTACATTTCGTGGGGATTGGGCTATAATTGCGACCTGTAGAGTGATTACAAATTAACATGGACGGACGGAAATACATAGCTAGATCGACTCACCTCAGCGAGATGGGAAGATCCATATATACTTTCCTATGTGGGAAACCAATATTTCGAAGTGTTAAATAATTTTTGGCCCAATCAAACTTATAACACCCCCAACACTTAGTGTTGTAGGGTATAAATAAGAAATAACCCGAATAACCTAAATTTCAAAAGTCTAGATTAAATAATGTTGACTTTATCGTGATTTCAACAGACAGGCGGGCATCTCTAAATTGCCTAATAATTTTATTCTGATCAGGAACATATATACTTTTTGGGGACTTTTCGAGGTGCTGCAAACAGAATGAAGGTATAAAAACTTGAAGAAGTATATTCGTTTCGTGTTGTTTCGATTTGCTACGCCTTATATGGAAACACTGTTCCGGAGCACTAGTATTTGTATTTTGCCATTCCGTTTGAAACATCCCTAAATATTCGTCGTAGACCCCGTAAAATATATTTATTATTTGATTTAACGACATCCGTCTGTCTGTCTGTAGAAATCAGTATACACATAGTTGGTAATGAAAATAAGATATATCGATGCACGTTTTGGAATAGCCGCCATATAAGTACAAACCCTATTGAAATTGGAAATAATAGGCAAATAGATATAGCTCCCATATATATCTTCGTTCGATTTGCTTTTTATTGTGCACCAAACTTGTAATATCAGTCCGAATGGTATGAAATTTTGCACATACAACCAAATTAGGCCTGAAAATAAGTATGCCAAATTTGATCGAAATCGGTTTAGATATAGCTTTAGCTCCCGTATATATAGTTCATCCGATATTTTATTTTTGTCCTCCGCAGCCGTAATATGCACTCTGTAACAAAAATATTAGGAGAAATATATCAAATACAGCTCAGAAATACCTTTGCTAAATGTTATCGAGATCGGTTCAGATTTGGATATAGCTCCCATATATAACTTCGCCCGATTTACTTTTTATTGTGCACCAAACATGTAATATTTGCCCAAATGGGATGGAATTTGGCACACACGACTGAATTAAGTCTAGAAGCTAGTATGCCGAATTTGGTCAAGATCGTTTCAGATATAGCTATAGCTTCCATATATATTGTTCATCCGATTTGTTGCATTTGTTATCCACAGCCGTAATATGCACTTCGTAACAACGATATTCAGGGAAATATATCAAATACAGCTCAGAAATATCTCTACCTAATCTTATCAAGATCGGTTCAGATTTGGATATATCTCCCAAATGGGCTATACAAGTCCGAATTTAAAAGATACAAATGATTCGGCATATGTAGTCCTTTGAACTTTAAGTTATACTTATAATTATAGCGTGTATGATTGAATTTTCGCATAAAAACTTTTAATTGTTATGTGGAGCTCTACTAAATTAGCAAAGTGGTGTAGGGTATCATAAAGTCGGTCCCGCCCGACTTTAAAAATTTCTATACTGGTTTTTTCATAGTGAGTTTTTTTTCATTTCAGAACTTAAAAAATATCTTCGAAAAAGGCAACACTCTGCTACAATTGGTGGCTGTTTGTCGTAAATTCGAAACAGAAAAGGAGAAAGTTTTACCCATGGGTTTGCCGCCCATTAGCAAGATAATGTTTGAAAATGAAGCTGAGGAATATTCACAAGTACCGGAGGAGCTGAAGTCAGTAAGTTAAGCATTATTTTATTCCTTCAACATATTACAACAAATTATTTGTTTATTTCCAAAAAAAAAAAAAAAAAACTTCTAGGATAATTTTTGCAACTGGCAATTGATGGAAGATTTCTGGCGGCGTGTTAACAATGTTAAAATAGATCTGGTTTGTCTGACACAACGCAAGCGGGGCTTGGAAGAAGAAAACGAACGACTGAAAAGGGAATTGGAGGAACGTTTAATGAGCCTTAACATTGCCAACGGCATTAACACCCATGTCAACGATTATTTGGCCAAGAGGCCAAGCAGTATGCGAGTTGACCGAGTGGAACGTATCGATTTGGATCAACGCCAAACATGTCAGTCGGCAGATGTGAAAATGGGTCGCCCACCACCACAGCCCCAACACCAGCAGACGCGTTATTGTCGTCGTCCCCACACCTCTTGTGTTACGGAGGCAAATCTCACCACCGTTGTACGTTCACGATTGTTGTCCAAAGGCAAACCGAAACTGGCCAAAATTGTCGCAATAAAACATTGAAAAATCACATTGCAATAAAGCGATTGAAGCGAAGAGAGGTGGACTCGCAAGGATGTGTGGCTGACATAAAGCGATCAATAAGCCAAGGAGTGTCCTTGCCACTTTTTTTATCCATCAAACAACAGATGTTGCGGACCTTCTTCTTTGTCGTTTTCTTGTGGCTTCTTTGCTCCACTTTGGTGGCCACCATAAAATATGACACTGCCAAGAGTTTTTCATATAAAAAGTAATAATTTTCCTGTGTTTTTTTCTTTTCTTTTGTGTTATTAAGTGAGGTGTGGGGAACATAAAATAAATGTCAGTTGTTGGTTGCTTGAACAATTGAGTTCCATTTTTGATGTGGTCGTCATTCCATCAAATATGTGTCAAAAAGTAATAAAAGGAACAAATATATAAATTTAATGTCATCGAAATTTATCATTTCTTTTCATTGTGCCATTAAGTGTTCTCCTTGCATTCAGAAAAAACGGAAATTTTAACCCCTCCCCCCGCACAGTGAAAGAACTTAAGACAAAATATTTGCCGAAGGTTGAGGTTAAGGTAGTGACGGACATTAAACATCAACTCAATGCAACAACAATAACTGACAACTGTAACAAATCATAAGGAAATATAATAATTTTTAATGAAACCTGGACACAATGGTTTATTGTGGTAGATAATCTTTGGAATATGGCATTTATTTTCAGCAGAAATCTAAGGTTAGGCATTGTTTAAAAGGAGGTGGATGAAAAAAAGATGATTTTTATTACAAACGAAAATGTAATGATAAAGAAAAGTTTTAATGGCTTCATTAAACATATTTTATTTTGAAATGCTAAGTGCATGGGATTGTTCACAATTTTTTTTTTAAATTCTTAGTCCAAGATAAAAATGGATAAACTTGATCAAAATTTAATTTTCTAATCTTTATCAAACTGCAAACAAAATTATAATTCAGAGGCACATTTCAGGATTAAAGTCATTCCTTTGTGAATCCACATTTAACCCTATAAATATTATCCAATAATCCGTTCTTATACCCTACAGCACATAGTGGTAAGGGTATTATGTTTGTAACATGGAGAAGAAAGCGTGATAGACCCACAGTTACTCTTGAGGATCTTCATAGAATCACTTTCTGAGTTGATTTATGCATATCATTTCGTCTGTCCGTCTGTATACACATTTTTGTGAAGAAAATGCAGGTCGCATTTATAATCCGATCGAGATGAAATTTTCCAAACAATTTTTGTTTGGCCCAAGGACGAATCCTATTGAAATTGGTGAGAATCGGTTCAAATTCAGATATATCTCACATATTTATCTTCAACCTATTTCGGGTTAATTGTACACCAAGTGACCAATATTAATCCAAATGACCTGAATTTTGGCATATCCGACGGATTTTAGTCTAGATGCAAGTACATCAAATTTTGTGAAATTCGGTTCAGATATAGCTATAGTTCCTATAGAAATGTTTCACCCGATTCGGGATTTAAGTCCCTCACATGCGTAATATGCCATCCACAACAACTATATTTGGTTTCAGATGTCAGATACAACTCAGAAATAAGTGTTTAAAAATTTGTCAAAATCGGTTCAGATTTGGATATAGCTCCCATATATATCTTTATTCGATTTTACATTTTTTGTGCAGCAAATGGTTAATATCAGCCCGAATGGGCTGAATTTAGACAATTCCGACTGAATTCTTCCTAGAAATTTGGAGGGAATCAGTTCAGCTTGGAGGTAATCAGCTATAGATCCCATATATATAGGGTGAGATGAAAAAACTGCATCCAACTTCAGACTGCTGTCATTTCCAAGCAACTCGTCCACTCCAGCATTTAAATGTGAATAAATCGTACCATCGCTCGTGATACTGGTAGCGTAGCCCGACGTCAAGGAAGTGGACGGAAGAAAACAGCAACATCAGCAGAAATGGTTCGAAAAGTAAAGAAGCGAAAATCGCGTCGTAGTGGCTGAAAAATGGCTCGTGAGCTGAACATATCGCAATATTCCATTCGGCAAATATTGAAAAATGAACTCCAGAAATGGACACCAGAACTCAAACGCCGGCTATGGTGATGGTGTTGGCCGCCATAACAGCCGATGGTCGCTCTCCGCTCGTATTAATCGATCGTGACATCAGAATAAATTCTAAATATTATCGAGAAAAATATATGGATACCAATTCGCTGGACTATTGTGTCTGGAGTATTTTGGAAAGCATGGTTGGCCCTAAAAAATACCAAAGTATCGATCACCTCAAGCAAGCGCTTCGGGGGAAATGGGCCAAAGTACTACAGAGCAACATTCGGGCAGCATGTGACGGTTTCATTGGCCGTTTGAAGGCCAGGATTCGTGCCAAAGGTGATCGAATTGGAATTGGACAAAGCTAAACTTATTCTAACATCTGATGCTATTTCCGATATTTTTTGCTTTCATTCAATAACATTTAAAAAAAAAGTAAAAATTATGACGTTTGACTTTGTTGCAGTGTATTTATCTCACCCTGAATATATGTTACATTCGAGCATAGTGGTATAGGGTATCATACAGTCGGCCCTGTTCGATTTTTGACCTTTCCTTTCTGGTTTGTTTTAAATTTTTGTCTGCTGCTAAGCTTTGCGTCGATCAGATATAAATGTTTGTATTTTCATATCCTATCAACATATATGCTAGTCAAAATAGTTTTAGGTGCAGAAAACTTTGCCTCAAAGTTTCATATTTCACACGAAGCTAGAAATGTCTTTGAAAAACATTTCGGATGGGCCCCCATCCACCGGATGGAACCGGTACCCTGCCTACGACGGTGGTGTAGCGTATTATATAGCCGACAATAAAAAATTCTATGATTCTCCTTCCTCTGGATAAATAGATCCTCGTAAGATAAACGATAACAATTCTTTGCTTATTTAAATAATATTTTGTACGTCATTCTAGCTGTCTTTGAATTTATTTCCATCTCATCTCCGGCAATTGATGATGTTCTCTTTGTGAGTGTGTGTGTTTTTGTGACAAAATTAGGGGTAATAATGTTTTGTCATTGCCATAGGCGGATGACTGCCTTTACATACGCAGATATTTATCCATACAACGAGGCACATCTTTCTTTTATTGTCGTCATGTCGAGACAATAAATCAATCAAATTTGAAGACATGCATATCCTTTGAGAATCGAAACTTTTCTTTGGATGAAAATGACAAATTGTTGATACATTGGAAATCATGTTTTATTCAAAAGACAGGGTAAAATAAAAGCCGAAAGAATGAACTTGGTGAAAAATTGTAAGAATAACTCTTTAAGTTTTATATATATAAAGACCGAGAGTAACATCACCGTGTGTTTCTAATGCAATTTGAAAGAAGTGAACGTATTTATTAATTAAGAACAAATTTACAAATAATTTCTTAATATAGAATATTTGCAAAATGAAATTGTCTGTACAATTATTATACAATTCTCACTACTTATACCCACCACCTTGAAACGGAGGGTATATTAACTTTGTCATTCCGTTTCCCTAAATCCCTAAATGTTCGTCGTAGACCCCATCAAGCACATATATATTAATAATCATCATGAAATTCTAAGTCGATTTAACGAGTTCGTCTGTCTGTCCATCTGAAATCACGATACAGGCCACATTATTTGACGAAGAGCTTGAAAATTTGGCACAACAGTGTGCGTTATGGTATTGAAAATCAGATATATCGGTCCACGTTATTGTATAGGTTAGGTTAGGTTGAAAAGAGGGGCGAAACAATTCGTAGCGTGCCCTGATGGTCATACACTTAAACCAGTATAGGCCTGTTGTGCGCTCTAAACTAAAGTTGAGCCAGTTAAGACACTCTACAATCGCCCGGACCCTCCCTTGCAGGATCGTATTGTGAACGGGCAAACGGAAAGAGATTACGGTATTTGGTTCTTCAATAAAAAGTCCCAGTCCCGCTCTTCCACCTAGCGCCGTTTTTGTATAGCCCCCATATAACTGTACCTCTGGATATTCAGTATTTTGATAATTTTTGCCACATTTTTCCACGGATTTGTGTAAAAATTGGTACTTGTAGTTCATAATGGTTTCTAGCTCCGGTGGCAGAACATTGAATATTTAGGTCCACGTTTTCCCATGGCGCACATATAACGATACCCCCCGAAATTCGGTATTTTGATACCCACGAAATTGTATTGAAGAAGATTTGACAGAAGATAATCCTTGAAATATAAATTTCATAGAGGTTCTGGATATTCAGTATTTTGATAATTTTTGCCAAATTTTTCCACAGATTTGTGTAAAAATTGGTACTTGTAGTTCGTAATGGTTTCTAGCTCCGGTGGCAGCAAATTGAATATTTAGGCGCACATGGCGCACATATAACGATACCCCCCGATATTCGGTATTTTGATACCCACGAAATTGTATTGAAGAAGATTTGGCAGATGATAATCCTTGAAGTATAAAATTGTCTATAGAGGTTCCCGTTTTGGTATAGCCCCCATACAACGGCCACCCCACCCACTTTATGGTTTTGTGAAACACATTTGAATTCAGATATTCTTATACAAAAATGTTTTCTTTACCTAAAGGTGGAGGGTATTAATATTTCGGCCCGACAAAACTTAATGTTTCTGCCTAAAACTATTTTAGAGTCTCCATATTTAAATCCTAGGAACGAACAATATCAAATTTTCGGCTCTATGCCTTTATATAATACCAAAATTTAGTAACAGTTAGTACGCATATCCAAAACAATCTACATCTATCCATCCTAAACACTAACAATTATCGACAATTAGTACAATTTAGTAATTTTCGAACAAGTGTACGCATTTACAAAACAAAAACAAGATGTCAACAGAGACCTCAATATCAGATTTGGGGATTATATCTCTATTATTTCACCAAATACCAAGTTTAGTAGCACTTAGTACTTTTCGAACAATTATATTACGTATTTTCCAAAACAATCTCCATATCTCAACCTCAGATACCTACAGTAACCTTTATTATCAAATCTCAGTATTTCAGATCTTGAATTTCCCCCGTTACTATCATTTAGTGCAATTATAGTGCGCATATCCAAAACCAGGATCTTCTCTCACATCACATTTCAGGATTTCAGCTTTTTTCCTTTTAACCAAACTCAAATTAAATACCACTTAGTACTTTTAGAACAACACACACACACATTTGCAAAATCACCTCTGGACATATGTCCAGGCTACACACGAACAGCGACCCTAATACCAAATTTCAGATCTCAAGCACTCTCTGTTCACCCAATGTCAAAACTCCAAAAGTGTTCAATTTTAGTATATTTTAGCTCTTTCCATACCTTTTTAGAACGAATTTCCACAAATCTAGCCCTTTCAAACGCCTACGCATCATATGAACATCTAATACCTCCATTTATGAATTAAATACCTCCCATAAGAC